GGCACCTGCCTATGGTGCACCGATTATGGCCAGACCATTCACTTAAGCCCTTCTGTGGACTCAATTTTGTCACCATAACCATTCATGAAAACCAAGGCAAGTCCCATAATGAAGACAAAAGATAAAGCCTATTAAAACAGCCCTTCTCCCCTTTCTCTCCATTTTCTTTATTGAACCAAGAATGTAATAGAGAGAGAAAAAACAAGATATGGGCCACTGGCTCTCTAAGATCCAAATTTTATATTGATATTTGAAAGTCAAAAGGCTAGAATTTCTTCAAGGATAACTAGAAACATCGCGGATAAAATACATGTACATACAATCATGAAACACTCCAATTTAAACCATTCCCTAAACAAAAGCTCTGAATAAGAATTAATATCACAAGAGAAATAGTTACAAAATTCTGTCAACATAGCACAACACGAAGTCCTAGTACTCTCATTCCTTACTACTCCATAATGCCCTTTCTTTTGCCTCTCATTCCTACTGTTCTTGACTATCATATTTCCTGAAACAAAAGGATTAAAGTCCTAGAAAAATAATAATAATAATAGAAGTTTGCTCTTTAAACAGTGCTCACTAAATAAACACCATCACACCAACAATAACAAGACTTCTCTCTCTTTTATGTACTGACTATTACTATGCTGAATGACTGTGCAAGATAAATTGTGACGTATCTACGACTGCCGCAGATTTTCACATTTTGTTGCAGAACAGAGAATAATACAGATCAAAGTCCATAGAAATTACGAATAGTATTGTAAGTACCTGTCAAGATGGTAAAGTGGCTCATCAATAAATAATATTTGTGGTCTCATGACAAGTTCTCTAGCAATGCTAACACGTCTTCTCTCACCATTAGGAAGGCCCTTCATATAGCAGTGGCCTCCTATTAGCTTATTTGCATAGTCACCTAATGACATTGCATGGATGGCATCCTCCACCACATTCTTTTTCTGAAAAAAGAAACCAGGTAATTGAAGCAATGCCGAGTAGAAAAGAAACTCCCGGACCGTGAGGGAACCAATCAAAGTCGTCTCTCTCTCAACAAAACCCTAGAAAATTAAGAAAACAGAAATTAGTTAACTAACTGTTTATGCCACCAAATCAAGAAACACAAAATAATTAGCATAAACTTCCAACACCAAAAGGCATCTTACATCCTATCATGATGCCAAATAACCAATACTCAACTAGACTGATAGGCAAATAATTAACTTTTGAATTCATGTTGAGGTGGGTAGAATTAAAAAAGACGAACTACAGAAAATAAAATCACAGATAAATTGATTGATACGAATGAAAAATGCACAGGCATGTGATCTCACTTACATAAGACCCATAAGGCATGCGTGATTTTGCTCCATTAACAAATACTTCACCATACATTTTCGCTGAATGATGTAATCTTCCTACAATAGACCAGAAGAAAAAAAAAAAAAAAAAAAAAAAAAAAACCAATTTAAAATGAGAAAGAAAGAAGAATCTGAAATTTTAAAGATTAGTTATTATGCATAGCCAACTGGAGACCTGCAAGTGCCCTTAGCAGTGTAGACTTCCCCGATTTTGCTGGACCCATGATTACCGTCATAGTTCCAGGCAACGCATAACCATTGGAACTTTTCACAACCTTGTTAGAATACTTCCTTTTTTTCTTTATTGTTATGGTCAAATCTTTCCAAGCGATATATGCCCCATTAATTTTTCTTGCAACGCCTGCACCCTCTGGTAACGGAGGGGATGGTATCGAACAACTATTAAGTTTTGAGAGAGAGGGCGAAGCAGGGGTGGTGGCAACATTGATGGAGTCACCCCCTTCTTCAACTCTCACATCAATATCTGTGTCCTCCCAGTCTGGAGAATCTTCGAATGAGATAGGCTGTCGAAGTGAACCAGGTTTTCGCAAGTAAAAGAAGTTACTGGATGGCACTCTACTCACTGGACTACTTGCTGAAGATGATGAAGACCTATAATTATCAGATTGCGACTGAATTTCCTCCATGATGTCTTTCTCATAAAATATTGCCTCCAATTTCTAAAACTTCAAGTTTGAGGAAACGTGCAACAACAGATCGGCTCCTTCCAGAACGTATGCCAATAACTCTAGTCTACTTATATAGCGACACTCTACGTTCTTATAAAACATAACAGCTCATTTTCATTATGCCGAAAACCTTGCATCACGAAACACGACATGTGGATGCCATTCTGTTGAAGAAACTGTAAAGTGATACAGTCTACATTAGTTGTGATGATAAAAAGTAGATGTTAATATAGACAATGGCAGTTCTGAGAAGCACTTAAAGAACTAATGAACAATGTGAGCTAAGAAATTTCTTCACCTGATAGAGAGTCCCAAATTGTTCTGAGTCGAAGAAACAAACATTTTGTGACGTAAAGAAGCGTTTTCGAATTAAGGATAATATCTTAATCACAACAAATTACACTATATTTCGTTGAAATTAAAAGGCCAACAAAAACTGAAACTACAATCCAGCTCAAGCTTCTCGATGCAGTAGAAAAGAAATTGAGTAGAAACAGAACTCAAAAACAAATAGAGGATTATTCATCAACAGAAACCAGAAAAGAAGCAAAAAAAAAAAAAACCTCATTCGTTAGTCTCCTTTCCATCACTTTCTTCCACTTCTTAGCTTTGAAACATGGTGCCAGAAACCGATAAACAGAATCAAATCAAACATAAACAAAAAAAAAAAAAAAAAAAAAAAAAAAAAAAAAAAAAAAAAAAAAAAAAAAAAAAAAAAAAAAA